CCCCTCCAGCAGTGCCGCTGTTAGGGCAACGCGTGTTGCCAGGGCAACGGCTGAGCCGCCTCGGATTGGCGGTTGCCAGGCAGGGAGGATGGAGGCCTCGGCTGCCCTGAGATGCTCCCAGGTGAGCAGGGCGAGCAGGGCAGGAGGAGGGGGCCAGCGTGGCCTTCGGCAGGCTACAGGGAGGCCCAGGGCAATGGGAGATGGTTTCGGACAGCGGTGCCCCATGTAGTGCCTGACGAGGGACCTCCAGTCTGGCTGCCTTCCCCCCTCGGCCAGGGACAGTGTTGCTCCTGGGACATGTCCCCCGACCCGAGCCCACTTCAAAGGGCCCAGCGTGGCTGCCTGCTCCGTGGGAAAATGCCTGAGGGCAGGTCCCCAGGGAGGAGGAAGGAGCCTGAAACGTTGCTGCTGGGAGGGAGGTGCTATGGGGAGATGGGTCCATGCATGGTGGGAGACAGGGCTCAGCTTTGCCAATGGCTTGTCCCTGGCAGAAATTGCCCCACCGTCCCCCTCCTTGGGGACAGGGGTGGCACTGGGCCCGACGATGCGCAGGAGGGCTGCGGCAGGGAAGGGACTCGGCACCCCCAGGGAGTCAGCCCAGCTGCACTCTCGGAAATAGCCTGTGTCAACAAACATGAGTCACTCTGGGGGACGCGGGGGTCGGGACAGGGACAGCACCGCCCATCTCTGCTGTGCAAAAGTCGGGGAGGAAGAATGGGAGTGAGGAGGCCTTGGGGCTGCCGACTGCAGAGGGGGCCTGGCTGGACGGAGCAGTGTCCGTGGGGGCAGGCTCGAGGCTGTCACCCGATGCCAGAGCCTGGGGCAGGGGCTGGGAGGGCTGCGCTCCCCTCGCACTGGCCCTGCTATGGGACCTGGCTGGGTGACGGGACAGGGACACACAGAAGCAGCACGGATACGGCCAAGACAGATGCTGGCTGCCCGTGGGCGTCTGGACTGTGACCAAGGCCTGAGACTGCTTCCTTGCCCTCTGCTCTGGGCTGTCGAGGCAGAGATGCTGCCCTGGACGGTCCCTACCCAGGATGGTCCCTGGGCTCTTCATGAGCTGCTGCTGGTCCCAGTTAGCAACAGGAGTGGGAGATACTGGTAATGCTGGAGCCAGTGGCTCAGCAAAGACCCTTGGCATGTGAGGGACTGCCAGGATGGCCAAAACCCCCCATTGCCGTCCCCATGTGCAGCAGGCGCCGTGCCTGCTGCCAGGCTCTAATCTGCTGGTTCAGGCACGTGGGTTGGCCACGAAAGTAGCTTAGTGGCACCCTGGACCCCGGGGCTGGCGGGGGGACACTGGGAGGGACGGCACTGAGGCGAGAGGCTGGGGCCGGGAGGAGCCCGCCAGCCTGCCTGCAGCGAGCCCAGGGCCAACCCTGGGGAGCAGCAGCACCCGCTCTCTGCCCAGGTTTGCTAGGGTGGCTCCTGCTCAGCCTGGTGATGCTGTAGCTGCAGTAGTCGTGTCCTCTCCAGAGCTGTTTGCTCCATCACTGGTAGAGCCAGTGTTTATCCCCTAATGATGGGGGCACGGAGGGAGTGCAGGGCTGGGGCTGTTTGGGGCTTGCAGGGAGTGCCGACCCTTGGAGGGAGTCTGGGGGTGTCTGAGCCCTCGCTCTCCGAGCTCAGGCAGGCTTTGGTCTCTGCCCCATTCGCTCTGCACCTCCAGGCTGCAGCAGCCGGGCTCCCGGCGCCCTCCCTGAGACGTGCCGAGCATCCCTGTCCCGGCCCCCGGTCGCTCGGGGGCAGGAAGGCTGCAGTGGGAAGCAGATGGCTGCTCCCAGGACTTTCCCCGTGCCTCGGCCTCTGCTGTCGGAGGCCAGGCGGGGGAGCGGGTCAGCGTGCAAAGGGGACACCGCAGCCCCTCTCCCAGGGGCGCAGCGGG